GATAAAAGAAGTGAGCAATAATAGAAAACCTAATTAAAATTAAATTTTTTTCATTTCATTGTATTGAAAAATCTATTTTTGTTTTTTCTTAGGTTTCCAACATATTCATAGTCTTAATAAACATTTAATAATTGGCAATTATTTATTTTGAAAAACTGTTATTTTGTAGGCTTTTGCAGTTCTCGACTTGAATTACTAAAATCTGCAGCACACAGACCTTATGCGGAAAGTAATAGATCCTTTCCGTATCTACCTACTTACATTCAACCTCACTGAATTACAGATGCAAATACATTTAGAATCCTTGTCGGACGTATTCTAAACTTGTCCTTGATTTCGATATGATAACGGAGAAATAGAATTATCATTTTAATACATGGAAGCGTAAGAATTTATGTGATTACAACTCATAGGTTGGCAAATTCGTTATGCTTACAAACACGGATGTTTACTAGGATATGGCGCCGAAGCGTCAACTAACGCAGAAGGCGTCGCGGCACGTCGGCCTCGGTCGCCTATTTCAGACGCCTGTACGCACACTGTGCCTATCTCTTTATTACTTGAATATCAATCTCTACATTCCACGACTAATCTCGTCGTAATTAACCTTGTTACAACAAGTGAGTAATCTCAACAAAGAATATTATATTCACTAGATATAAAATATAAAAATAAATTAAACGTTTTATTGGAATTTTATTTAAAAAAGTTTTTCTCTTTCGGTTCATTTGATTCGGAAATATGTTATTTGGTTAGACCCGCTACACGCGTTCACTGTCACTGTACAATTCAACTATACAGTTAAAATTGACGGTTTATAGGCAAAACTGATTACTGTACAGTTTAACCGACAGTCCAAATTTTGTCTATTCATGTAGGAGTTATCTGATCAGTTAAAAGTGAACGTATGAAGCGGGCTTTAGGAGGATGATATGATTAACTAAGATACCCCACAATCCACATTAATAGACTCCAATACTGCTATTGATCATCACCATGATTGCTTGAGTAAGATTAAAAGAGCTAGTAAATAAATATCTGTGCTAGTAATAAAATATAAACGGCAAAATGTTACCGCAACGAAATGTAAAGTAAAATGTTCCCAGATGTATTTATGTGAGCTAGGTAAGTTGTATGCGGTGTCCTTGCACGAGATAAAGGCAAAGCTGTTATTCGGGGAATGTCGGCAGCTGGAGCGCGCGGCGGTCGCGGCCGCGCGCCGCCCTTGACCTGCACCGCTTCCGCTGCACCGCCCGCCCACGCTCCCGCTCTATACAAATACTTGATTTAGCTCTTCATTTCAGTAAATAAAAGAATAGAAAATGAGCAGCCTCAGGGCAAATCAAAGTTTCCATTGTCTGCGCTGACTATTGCTAGAAAAAAATTGTTCTGTATAACAATTGTTTGCTATTTTAATATCTGACTGGAAGGTCAGTCGGATGTAGACTAACGGCTATTATAATACATTTTGCCAAGAGTCAAGTGCAAGCCGTGTCCGCGTAATACAACACGCGGAAATAGTTCTATTTTGAACCAGTTCAATTGTACATATTGTACCGGCTCACTTCACTGCTACATGCGCGAGAGTAGCAAAGTTAAATGTTAATTCATTTGATGTGCCTAAATATAATTTCGCAACATTATACAATTTGCTATTGGAGTAAGAATGACGAAAGAAAACACTCGAGTTATTCCTGGCAATGGTTTGAAAACATTTAGGTGACTAATATCTATTTATATTAGTTTTTGTATAGGGAAATATGGGTCAATTTCGTAATTTGACGTATCTACGCCTTTGAAATTAGACATAATTACGACGCACTCTTTGGAATCTTTATCCGTTTGATGGTAATGAACGTGAGTCCTGTTGGATCTCCGCCAGCGCTGCTTATACGTTATGAAGAGTAACGACTCGTTGGTACACGAGCAGCAAATTATCCAAGTTAAAGTGACAGCGCGTAGTATTTCGAGCGGTTTATTTTTCAGCGTGACGTTATTATCCGCTGAGAGCGCGGGCTGCGACTCGTCACTGTCGCACGACAGCTTCATATTGCACGTCGCAAGTCGCACGTCTCACGTCGCCAGACAAATTCCACCGCTGACAAAATGTCGACCTACTTTACTCCATTTCATCAAATTATATAATATATTTTTGGCAAGTATAAAGTAATTTTTAAACTTTCTTTCACACTTCATTTTTGAAATGAAATAAGTTATGTTTCACAATAAATCAGCTGCACGAAATATACATTGTTTCAATGTCGAAATAAATCGAAATGCTGTAAAGTATTTTGTTTATTCCATCTAAATGTTAACTTGTTCAATTTATTTTAGTACTAAAATGATTTTCAGCTTGTTTTTCAATAGATTGTTTTATTAGATTACCTGATACATCTTATTCAAGGAAAATGGTTTCTGCATGATTTAAATTAACGTAATAAATTGTGGTAATACATTAAACCACAATGTTGTATCAGTGCAACTTGTGTAAGTGTTATCAACTGGTGTTATGGCAATATAAATGAATAGCATAATATAATCTGAAGATAACTTTTATTATTGTAAGACACCACGAACACGGATAACAAAATTTTATAACATTACCGTAACAAAATGTTCCTGTTTTCTTTATAAAAATGGAACACCAATTGCGGTTGTTGCTTTAAGCTAAACATTCGCGGCCTTTCTACTGCGCCTACGTAAAAACATTTCTTAGCAAATTTTATAGAACTATGTCAGTGTGGTCGTGATTTGGACATTAAAGAACTTATCAAACGGCGTGCAAATAGGCCGAACCGTCAATGCGTATTCATCTTGCGGATAGTATTTTGAACGTGTTTGCGGCTGTTTCGTGATGTTCTGCGAGGAATTCGGAACATTATAAAAACGTCGCCGACGAAATCTCTTGACATTGTATTACTATCGCCGCGCCGCCGTACGGCACACTTTTGTCCTTGAGACCAGATATTTACATATTTCGCCATCGCTGTTTTGAAACACGACAAGCGCTTCTTCTTTATCTTTTATTTTAATTACCTTCAAACTATAACATCTTTAGTTTTAGCGTATATGTATCCCGCCAATATAAACAAATTCAGTGTATATGCCGATTTGATTTCTAGATACAAAACCGATAACCAATCTGAGATACGTAAAGTTTCGTATATGTTTACGATAAGCCGCGTTTAAGAACATGATCGGTCTTACATAACGCCTCAGCGAACGACCTCTAAGAGAGGGTGGCTTGGCCAAGGGCGACTGAATCGATCCGATCTGCGGCAGCCTCCCTCCATCCCCGGAGCGGAGTTCTCTCGCGCGACAATCTCCTCTCCCTCTTTGTTCGGCAAACGTCGCTATCAGCTGCAAACAATCCTTCGAGCTCGTACAGAAATATGTATTGCATTGTAAATATGGAACCCGTCTTCTTGTCGATAATAATAAACAAACTAAGTCGTGCCTCATAAATAAGTTATAAACCTTGCATTGTTTTCGCATTCCGTTTCTACAATACTTACATATATGAATGCTACTAATGTTTTGCTGTGTTTTATTTTATGCAGACACGATATCCGTTTCAGTTAATAGTTACTTTTAAAGTTGAGAATTATTTACTCTCGTAACAAAGTTTATCCTGCAGTTATTGCGAAATGTTGCAATTTTGCTTGAGCAATGGGCCATGAAACCTGCACCGAGGTTAGTCGCTAGAAGTATGTATTTAATTCTACATTGCCCAAGACAAGTCATGAATTAAAAATGTAAAGTAAACTTATTTGTTTTAACAACTAAACCTAATTATCCTTAGCTTTGTGCTTGGTTTTGACAATACCTTTGTCTTTTAATTATCTTCGTAGAAGACTAATTATATGGGTTGTATTCTTTGTAAGGCTATACTTTTTATCTTTTAAAAGGAAAGGAGTAATTTGTCGAGATAAAATGTAGTGTTGGATGAAAAGTCGACAAAGATTGAGTTTTTAACCCACACTTTTATCTAGAAGTTTATTGAATGGCAAGACTTTGATAAAGAAACTGAGAAAGTTATTTATAAAACCGTACATAAGGGTTTTAGAACGTAAAGCTACATAATACATACAGTGATAGACATGAAACATGGTTCGTATGTTATTTGTTAGTGGTATGCGTAAATAATAGAATTCCATGCGAGAGCTTAAGAGGCGTCGGTCGCGGGCGCCGCAGATGAATGGGAATCGCGTGGCGCCCAGCCGGCAGACCGTCACTCTCCGCCTATCGACTATTAATAGACCCATCTGACTCGTTCCGCGACGCTTTTACTTCGCGTTAAAGTTTTACTACGTATACCGCACGCTCACTATGCGTAACAAATTTACTGAGAAATACTACATCAACGCTGTATCCGTATTGGACACTTACACGAAACCATAAGTATTTAGTATATAGAGTACTTAACGTATACATGTATTTTTTCATCTTTGTCCAAGGCATTAAAAGTAATATTAATGTATATAGTTACATCGTCCAAGAACTTGTTTGACGTGGAAGGAGACGGGATCAGTGGCCGTTTTAAATCCAATGCAATTATTGTCTGTACCGCCGTCGCCGGTACCAAAAATAGCCCTGATGAAGTCCCGTTGCCATATAAAGAAACTTGAGTGACAGCTCATGTGCTCGGTAACCGGGCATTAATTTTAAAATTTATTATATATCCCATGTATGGATACCTAGTACTTATATTCCATTTCAGTTTATGTTCGTCAAGGTCAACGGATATTTCCTTTTCCTATTTTGAAGAATTTTCCTCAATCTTTTGTAAGATTATCGCAGGCCAGTACGTGAGAGGATATTTGTTTTTTAGTAGGTTAAGGCTAAGCGTGGCATAATTAGATACGACATAAGTATATGAATATATTCATTTTAAGTACAAGATATTTATTACGAATAGTTTATGGTCATTTAAGTAACGTACATTACCGTGCACGTTTAACGTCAGTGACGTTATAAAGAAATCTGTCTTATTTTTTCAGAACCAAAGAAAGACAAATTGGAAAATGGTGGTGAACTTGTGAGGCCTGAGCGGCCGAACTCCTTGACGGCCGGGAAGCTGCCGAGACGAATATGTTATCAAGGAGATGGTGAGTAAAATATTTAGGCTTCTTACCCAAAATATACATAATGTAATTTATACTTTACAGCAGCTATCATCAAAAGATTTTTTTTTATATTGAATAAACCAATGCTGGGCCACAAACCGACTTTATAGTAAGTGGCTATGCGACCGAAGGATGGTACGCACTAGTTTAGTAAATACCTATTCACCCTATTCTTAAAGACACCCACGTTATTGCTGGCCGGAAACACTGACGCCGGCAACGTATTCCAATCCTTAAACGGGGTTTAAGTTAAATATATGAATAACATCGAAATCGACCAAAATCCACTAATTTCCGAAGTTTTGACGATCATTCAAATTATGGGTAACGTTTGCTTTGTGTACAAGTGCATGTGATGTGATTCATTGCATTGTGGAACGTTGCCAAAATAACCTCAACATCTAACTATTAAAGGAATGTTTCCTAAATATGTAAATATGTACTTTCTAAATGTCACGCTCCAAATGAATTATACAGCTGTTTAGACAATGAATAAATAATAAGAATTAGGGCCGTTATGTTGGTGGGTATTATTCAAAACACTCTTGAATTATAAAGAAGGGTCGCAAAGTTATTTCATGAAAATAAATGTTGTGTGCTTCAGGCAGAAAGTAAACCAGCCAACCTTATTTGTTCATTTCCGTAATATGGAGAGTTGTTTCTTTTAACCTTGTTAAAGTTTTGTCATATTTTCTATAGATAAAACTTTTAATAATTTTTAAGATAAGCTTGTATCTCAAAATTTCTTTATGTTCTCTCGAGGGCTTTCTTTTTTAGGTCTCTTCGCATTTGTAATTGAAATTTTTTGGTGATTGAATATTTTTTATGTTAAGGATAATACGATATCTCCCAACTTTGGTGAGGCTGTTATATTGCGTATCAAGAGGTAAAACAATAAAGTGGCTACAAATAATGCCCATGTAATCGATTAAATACTTTGACCATTGTGCTGTACCAAAATAGATGTAATTTTTATGAATGAATGAGATAAATTGTTCAAAACGTCAGTTGGACAAGGTCGCTTATAATTAATTATCATGTCCACCAGGGTCATGCGTATGACGAGGTTGACATTTGTAAGCGATGTGGTATGCAACCTTTGTGAATAAACACTAAGAGAAAACCTGATTCTGTTTAATTTGTCTATTACATAATATTGAAGTAATTCCTTTGTTACTGATTACTTGAACATAGACACCAAGTTTAGTACGCATGCTGCAATAAACCATAAACAACCAAAAAACTCTTAGCTGGCCCAAAAACTATGTCAATCAAATCCTCCATCGATCTTAACTTTTGTATCTTAATATACCTGGATATTAATTATTTCTGAATATATAGTACGGTATATTTTTGTCTTAGTGAGCGGATACGGCGGTGGAGGTGGGGTTGTGGGTGGGGGCATGGGCATGGAGGGTGACAACTCGCAGCTGATGCTGTCCGATCTCCCGGAGCCGCCCATCGCTGTGTCGGAGATCGGGCCCATCCCGCCGCCTCCCATGTTCAGCTCGCCCAGTCCTACGCGCCACCATCATCATCACCAGCACCAACACGCGCTCTCGCACCATCCTCTCTCTGACTGTGAGTAATAATCATTTATTATTTATTGTTCTGTAAACTTTATGGTGGCTTTTTGTACATGAAGCTACACACTATTTTGCATATCGAAGTTTTCCTATATCCACAGTGAATTCACTTGGCATGTATCTGCGAAAGACATGTGCAAACCACGAACAGCCATAAAGAATATTTTAATCTCTTGCATGTTTAAGCTTCAACAATTTGTACTGCGTTTTATAGCTAATGTAGAAAAGTTGTAAAACGAAGTAAGGTTAGAATAAAAAGGAAACTTAACGTATGTATCGTCTAGGTACTTTTCTATTTTGGAATACCTGCGCGATGTTTCGAGAAGTAATAACATGAATAATATAAGTATGAGTAAGAAGTAAGTTGGCAACGTGTTGCATGTCGCATGCATGCCATTAGGTATTCAATACAATAGTAATGTAATACTTTGAATACCAACATTACAGCAGAGATTACATTTTAATGCTATTGACATAAGTCTAGTCGCCTAGTGTTTACAAAGAGGATTCCAACGCTTAACAATTAGATTACATATATGGTATATTGGTGATGTTATTGTTGCTCTATAGGCAAACTCTATCTCAAGCTTTAAATAGATTTTTAGGCTTCCGTACCTCGAAAGGAAAAAATGGAACCCTTATAGGATCACTTTGTTGTCCGTCCGTCTGTCTGTCAAGGCCCTTTTCCTCAATAACGCGTGAGGGTATCAAGTTGGAATTTATTTTTAGTAGATAGTCTGTCTGTCTACACCTACATCAAAAGACGGGAAAATATGTTTTAAGTTACATACACATCAAAATAGAATAGTTTTTTTTTCGTTGTGAGAAAACAATACTCTGCAACTGGTTAACCAATGTGCCCTCGGCTGTGCGGCTGCAGTAATTACGAGGCTCAGTGAACGTTTTGTGCGAGACTCTGCTAATTAAACCATCATATTGGCTTTTGACGATGCAAATACTGCATACAAATAATGTAGGTACAGTATTTGTATCTTCAAAAGCTAATAGCTAAATGTGTATTTAATATTTAGTGTTCGAATATGCAAGACGAATATATGTCTAACCGTGGGTTTCGGAATCCAAAATCCTCGTTTAAAACATAATGTCATCTCTGTGTTGTCAAAGATAATGACAGTGATGACAATATGTTTTATTATTAAGACCAGGGAAATAATTGAGATAATATTTTGTATTGCACATAAAGACTTTAGACCTCATGTAAGATTAATAATATTTTTAGTTTTTATTGTAAAAGTTAATGCTTATTTTTATTCATTTGAATGAATGATGTCACCTCGGAATGTATACTCTGTACTCGTATAGTTTAAATTGGCAACGGACCTAATTACTTGCAATGTTTGTATGGCAGATGAATCATTTCATTTTGATTACGATCTATTAGTATCATGATTCGTCATTTCTCTGAAATATCTTCCTTGTTTTTGCTTTAAAAGAAAACATTGATTTATTTTCAGATTTGTTAAATATTTATACGATACGTACTTTGAAGTGAAATAAAACAATACAGCAACTCTCAGAATTAAATTGCCCGCGATGATACAAAGATCAATGTGCGTTCATTCAGAATTAATTCCATCATTTACATATATCATATATAAGTTGTATATGACAAGGTCAATGGAATATTATTTACGTACAACTAAATGGAAACTCGTTTATCTAAAACAAACAGAACTGGTGCCATATTTTTATAAAATAAATACAGAATATAAAACAAAAATATTGTTGTATTCATACCTTTTATAACTTTGAGTTAACATTTGTTTATGTAATATTATATAAGAATTATTTTATATATTTTAAAAATAAAACATCATTGAAATTATTTATAGTTATCACATATGAGTGGTTTCAAACTTCCTCAAATAATCTAGAAATTAAGTTCTGTCAGGCTATTTAATATTTTAAGGACCACTCAATATTCCCTTACTTCTCAACAGTGGACCACCTCACTTTATTTAGAGGACTGATATATAGTACATATCCACTACGACGTATTTAATTGTTACTCTTTGAAATTTAAGCGTATAATATAGCTATGCCCATTGTTAACTTCCAGCCGAAGAGGAGGACGATGTGGAGGAGGAGGAGGCGGAGTCGCTGGGCGCGGACACGTCACGCGTGGAGGAGATACCGCCCAAGGAGCCGTTGTTTAACGCCGTGCCGCTCAAGTCGGCGCTCAAGAAGCGGCCCGCGCCCGCCGCCTCGCCTCAAGGCACGCCGCAAGCAACGCCGCTCGCGCCGAGACAAGACCATCACCACGCAAGCTTCAAGTTAGTACCACATTCTTGAACCCTTATCCGTAATATCAGAATTCAAAGAAACATATACAGTTTGTTAGGAATTTGGTGGAATTTTTACCAGAAGAGTGACAACTACTCAAGTTCATTGTATGACAATAATTTTACTTATGTATTTAACAATTCTTTTATTGAATTTCCAATGCGAGATAATAGAAATTGATTGTATAATTTAAAAGTTATGAGCGGGCGAACACGTCATACATCCTTAAAAGGTCGTAACAAAGGAGTTACTGTGTAGGTGTAACAAAAATATTTCTATTTATATATATCTATAGTAGACTTATCCGTCACCACCTACGCATATAGAGGATCTTTAGAAAACCAGTTATTGCAAATCTATGATAGATGTACCGAGTTTCTTTATACGTGCGTAGGCAGTGATCGCAAGTTGGCCTTGCATACTTGTCAATTGTTCCTTACATGCCTCTCACCGACTTTGTATTCCAAAAGATTCCGTTTGCTATTCTAATCTATATTGAGATTGTTTTTGTCACGTTGGCAACATTGGTATGATAATGGTTATTACTATGTTTGTCTTTAACTAAGAAAAAAAGAAATGTTACCTACCTAAAAAGGTATTTATGCGAGACTGATAGTGAAATAATATCGTTCTAAGAAAAGTCATGTCTATTTTCTATGTTATTTTATTATTATGATGTGTTTATTTGTAATTTTAAAGATACTGTATGGTCGTAAAAAATATTTAAATTAAATTATTGTTACTAAAAAATGTCTTATATTCATGACAAGACAAGATTATATAAATTTTATGTAATCAGTATAAATATTATCGCACATGAAGCTTTAAATAACAGTAACAGTACTCTCTATTAACAAGTATTCATTTTAATATTAATTCATTGTTTTAAAAATGTAGAAAATTTGGCTATAATATAAATGTTTGTATAGAAGACATTGTAATCATCTGGGCTTGATAGTGAAATGTGTGCGTTTATTTTTACCATGCGCTGCCTAGCAGACGGCCGCCGCCCAAACCGAGGATCCGCATATGGTAACAGTCCCTCAAATATTGTCAATGTTGTTGAACACGCATCGCCCAGAGACCTCCCGACGGTCTGCTTGCCTTCAGCCCATGACCCATGACCCATGCATCGTACAGCGCACGCTTACGACGAACTAATTACAACCACCAACTAAAATCACTTACTACCTGCAATTCACAATGCAGGTGTACAATTCAAAGGCAATGATATGTTTACTAACTCACAAAATTAATCTATATAGAGTATCCGTTGCCGTACTGTGGTTGAGTGTAACAAGATAATGTTCACCTCTGCAAATGAATATACTGATCGTTTTGTATCTGACTCGACTGCTCTATATTGCTCTTAAATGTCGCTGTGTTGCATGCAATTGTTTTGTGCAGTGTGAATACAAAAATAAATGTTAGATGTATTTCTTAAATATAAAGTAAAAGTAGAATACGTTGTTCTCTCTATTTCCGTGAATTTCACTCATCGCTTGTAGTTAAAATGATTCGTTCCCGCAAATGGCGTGTTGCGATACGCCCCTCGCCCGTGGGCCGCACGACTGCGTCACGCACGTTCGCGCGACAAATGCAACCGAACAGATTTGTTTCCAATAAAACAAATGTACTAATGCCCCCTTTGCTCAGTGTACCCACTGTAATCGTAATAATGAATTAATTATAATAATTTTACTAAATATTTGATTGTCAACTTCCAAATCATGCTGCTTAAAAAATAGATTAAAGAAAAATATATTTTTATCCTATAGTTCTTTTCTTAGTAAGTCTTGATAAATTTGTGACGCATCAAAAGTCCATCGGTGCTGAGACTTCCCTAGTTCTTCTATGCATTTTGCCGTACATATGATGCATCAGTGTTATAACTGTCCAAATATAAACTTCATAGCAATGAATGCAACAACAATAGTCTAATTTTGCAAATAATGCACAAAAGATGTATTTGGAGTAATGCCGTTGTTAACTAATATGACATTGATGCACCGGATGTCCGATGTTGCTTATTTAACTGTAAAGACTTAGTTTGTACCATCATGTGAATGGGTAGTGTGTAAATTAGTGCCTGATTATGCAGCACGCGGCCCGTGCGTGTGGGTAACGCGGTGGAGAACAAGGAGAACGCGCGACCATGGGAGGGCGAGTACCGCGACGAGTACTCGAGCGAGTCGGAGCGCGTGGCCGCCAAGTTGGCGCGCAAGGAGAGTCTTAACATCAAGCTGGCGCTACGTCCCGACCGCCAGGAGCTCATTAACAGGTACGTTGACTAAAAAACCTTGCCTTCTTGACAGCTTTTACCAGCTATTATCGTCATTGATACATTGTGACTTCAAGAAAGTAAATAATTAATATGGCCTGTCTGAGACTCTTTAGGTAATATCAGAGTTGATCGCTGTTCTTAGCGGTTACAAGAACGATATTTGGTTGTGCACGGGTGTCATTACTCACTATTTACAATTGAGGTCGTAAGGTTTTTTAATAGTGGTTATAATAAAAGTGTTAAATTGCATTTTGTATGATTCTAACTGTTTTCATGATATCATGAAGGAGTATATAATCTTTATCAATATAACCACGCCGTTGTATCCCGATAGTAAATAGTAACACACGTGCGGTTGCGTAATTAATGGCGGTGTCACACCGCGCGC